GTATTGACAAACATAAAAGTTTACATTTTACATGCAAAATAACAATGTATTAATGGGAGAGTCCTTATTTCTTTGAATGGTGGAAAAGCACCACACAAGAAATCTCCACCTGTTGAAACAGCAACATCAAGCTTGGTCTTACCTGTGAGTTTTGTCTCAACCTGATTAATCGGCAAAGAGGGTCATTGTTCAGCATCTAGTTTATAAACATCATAGTGAACACTGTATTTTTCATCTCTTCTCAGTAGCAAAGAAAAATTAAGTCCTAGTGCTTTGTGCTAGGACTTAATTCCCCTTAATCAAAGTTACTTCTCTTAAAAGGAAACTTATGCCTCTTATATTTTCTTTCTCAAAGAGAGGACTTGTGTTATTATATTTTTACTATAATTAAGAAAAATTTCAACCAAGACATCTTCTGGTTGAAATAGGGGTAGAAGTAACCTTTCTGTTTCTCCTAGTTACTGGTACAACGTCCACCCCCACAAAAGTGGTCCCTGGAATGTAACTTAGGGTCCCACAGAATGCAGTTTCGAAGTCTCCAATCTCTCTACGTAGCCTGTAGTCCTCAGATCAAATAACACAACTCCAGAAGCATCCCCATCCCCACCCCAACCAACCTCCACAGACATCCACGCAAACCGGAAATCAAATGATAGCATCTTTGGCAAGCCCCCTAACTTTCCAACGCCTCGGTTTTCCTGCCTGCAAAATATAAAATCAGTTTCATATCTGAAAATGATTAAGAATAGCAAGCGTTTGTTGGATCTTTACTTTATGGCAGGCCCTTCACGTAGGCTGTCTCTTTTAGTCATAACCACCACGCTATGCAGAAAGTAACTGCTGTTATTTCCATTTCACAGATGGGGAAACTAAGGCACAAGGAGTTAAGTTCCTTGCCTGGAATTGCACAGGAAATGGCAAACCAGTCTTTAAACCCATATGGCTTGAATCTAGCCCCGAGGCCCTTAACTGCTCTGCCTTAATTCCTGAGACGGAGTGGTGAAGGTGAAGGAGACCAGGTGGGCAGGCAAGGTGACCAGCACAGGCTTGGCACAGAGTGGGTGAGGGTTCCTGTCCTTCGAGGGTGACTTGTCTTGGTTAGTTGGGTGCATATCTGTCTCATCTTTTCCTTTATACACTTCTTGGGGACAAGGACTGTCTTTTCATCTTTTTAAAAATGTTTTCCTGTGCAACATAGGAATACCGTGGTATGGAGGACACCTATTTTCCTCCATTCTGTGTGTCACAAACCTATGCAAGTTTTATTTCAGTTAAATTCTCCTTTTCCCTCCAGCTGCTGCAGCTCACAGGGTGTTATCAGCTCTACACTGAGCCCTTAACCTTATTCGTCACATGATAAAAATGCCGGACACACTGGTTGAACGAAGTGTGTGAATCGTATGCTGCTAAGTATTACCCTCCTTTTGTATGTTTTGTCGGGTCATCCTTCCTGGATGGTGTGTGCTGTGAGAGTAGGGACCATTTCTTTCCTTTTTCTTGCCCATGACATTGAAATCCAGGGAGAACCAGGGGACCAAGGTGGGCAAGTCCGTGGAAACCCAACCTTGGTCCCACTATTGCTAGAGGTTTTTCTGATGTGCCTGAGTCTCCCCTGGTACCAGACCGTTGCCTCTCATCCTGCCACCAGGTGAATTAGTGGTACATCTGGGAGTGAAAGTGTCTTGGTGATTTAGATCAGAAAACCAGGAGGACCAAGGCGTGCCAGGCCCACTTACATCAGTGTTGTTCATTTGTTTGCAAAGTATCAACTTTTATTTTTTAACCTGGGTAAAATGTACATGTGCTTTAAAAAAATTATTTTCTATATTATTTTGCATTCAGAAATGTTTTTTACATCTTTATTAGAGTATAATTGCTTTACAATGGTGTGTTAGTTTCTGCTTTATAACAAAGTGAATCAGTTATACATATACTTATGTTCCCATATCTCTTCCCTCTTGGGTCTCCCTCCCTCCCACCCTCCCTATCCCACCCCTCTAGGTGGTCACAAACCACCGAGCTGATCTCCCTGTGCTATGTGGCTGCTTCCCACTAGCTATCTACCTTACGTTTGGTAGTGTGTATACGTCCATGCCACTCTCTCACTTTGTCACAGCTTACCCTTCCCCCTCCCCATATCCTCAAGTCCATTCTCTAGTAGGTCTGTGTCTTTATTCCTGTCTTACCCCTAGGTTCTTCCTGACATTTTATTTTTCTTAAATTCCATATATATGTGTTAGCATACGTTATTTGTCTTTCTCTTTCTGACTTACTTCACTCTGTATGACAGACTCTAGGTCCATCCACCTCATTACAAATAGCTCAATTTCCTTTCTTTTTATGGCTGAGTAATATTCCATTGTATATATGTGCCACATCTTCTTTATCCATTCATCCGATGATGGACACTTAGGTTGTTTCCATCTCCGGGCTATTGTAAATAGAGCTGCAATGAACACATTCAGAAATATTTTTTAACATTTTTTATTGTGGTAAAATATACACAACATAAAATTTATCATTTTTAAGTGCATTTTACGTTTACAGTAGTGAGCAACCATCACCACTACCCATTTCCAGAACTTCTTATCCTCCCAAACAGAAACTCTGTACCCCTTAAACAATAGCCCCCGTTCCTCCCTCCCCCGCCAGCCTCTATTCTGTCTCTTTGAACTTGCCTATTCCAGGCCCCTCACATAACTGGAATCACACAACATTTGGCCTTTTGTGCCTGCCTTATTTCACCTGGCATAATGTTTTCAAGTTTTCATCCATGTTGTAGCGTGCATCAGAACTTCATTCCTTTTGAAGACTGAGTAATATTCCATTGTATGTGTAGACTGCATTTTGCTTATTTGCTAGTTTCTCTGTTCACCTGCTGGTGGACACGTGGGTTGTTTCTGAAGCACTCCTTCTTGAATGGTAACCCAGCCTCGCCTCGGATTGGGACCTGAACCCACGAGCTCTGACTTAGGAGGGGTCTCGAACCCACTGGCTTTTAATTGAAACGGCTCACCTGGTGTCAGGACTTACTGAAGCTCAGGTTCTTTTGTCTCATTGCACAAAGAATTCAGCATGAGGCAAAGCAATGGGCACAGGGTGAGTTTATTAGCATAAGATGCTTGTGAGAGAGACAAGTGGGCAGGCAACGGAGCACAGCCCTGAGAAGAAAGAGGGATACATTTTTATAATCAAAGCAAAAGTAGGGAGGGGAGAAGACCACCTTCTTCCTCATTCTTGGGCAGACGTCAAGGCTTACATCATTAGTTCCTCCTTTGACCCTACATGGTTTAACCGGGACTGTCATGGCACTATTTAAATCATATGTATGTTAGCAAAAGAGTGGTAACATATACTAAATATAGTAATTCATCTCAGTTTCTTTCCCCTTTCACCTATATTCCTGTCTTGGTTACATGCAGAGATGCTACTCTTTGAGGACCATTAACTCCCTGACTTCCTGTAACAAAATTCAGACCCCATTAACTATCAGGGTTTGTGGCTTGAGTGTGTCTGGTGCTCGGACGCACCTGGTCTTCCTTCAAGGTAGTGCTGACTGTTGCTAGGTTACTGGATTCTTTTCTTGAGTGGTCCTTAGTTTACAACAGTCTCCCAAACTCCCTTCCTCCCTGTCTTTAATCCCCTAGTGGGATTTCTAAACTATTTAATTATCCTTCTCTATCCCTCTCATTTCCACCTTTTGACTATTATGAATAATTGCTTACACCATAAAGATGCATATTTACGATGAAACATAACTATATTATATTTTGCTACATAGTTCCAGATAATAATGCATAGGACCTAAAGAACTATAATAAAAAGCAAAAGTATAAACAAACCCCCAAAACAAAAAATCACTTTAAGTTCAAAGGATGAACACCATTGCATCATTAAATAAGCATTTGCTGAAGGCCTGGGATGAGCCAGGCACACACCCTGCGTTTCCAACCATCTCAGGAGGGTCCTCCCCAGTTGGGGCGCATGGGGGTGCAGGGGAGACAAGGCCTAGGCGGGTAGCTTTGCCTGCATGCAGATGTGGATGGTGCTGCAGGAGAGGTACAGGCAAGGTCTTGTGGCGCCTTCGGAGGCAGGGACAGAACCCGCCCGTGGGGCTCTGAGGAGGTGGCAGATTTGGGGAGTAGGTGAGGCACGGACTATGGTAAACCCCTAGCTCTGCTCTTTCTTTGCGGAACCCAGCTAGTATTTTTCAGTGTCTTGGGCCTGCCCTGAGGGCTTTGGGTTCCTCGAGTTTACATTACTCACAGCTTATTAAACAGTCTGAATCCTGCATTTAAGCAGCCCTGTTGCTCTGATTCAGAGTGCCTCGGATTTACCTGGTCTGGTCCTTTGGTGTGTCTTAGGGCAACCACGCTCCAGTCAGCCTTGTGGAAGTGCTGCATCTCTTTGGGTGATCTGGAGCACAGCGCTTGATGGACTCGGACCCGGGATCACACTGTCTGTCCAGGTGTAGCACCTGATGCAGGGAGAGGGAGCAGCCCCAGCTCTCCCCGAGCTGTGTGACCTTGGGGAAGTTACTCCACCCCTCTGATCCTCTTGTGCAACATGAGGGCATTGGGTGACCTCTATGGCCCTTTCCAGCTGCTGTAATTTTATGATTGCCCTATTATGATTTAAGTACCTCCCTCTATCGCTCTCGGAGTGAATGACTCAGCAGTCTGAGAGTTTCACTATTGTTTTTAAGGAAGCCTGGTTATTTTGCCATCACAAGCAAGGGTATGTCCCTTAGGTAAACAGTCTGACAGTCTTGATCCAGCTGGAGTTAGGCTGACACTCACTGGAGTTCTTCACGCTGTATTCTTTCAGTGAAGCAGCTCGGACACCGGCTGGCCAGAGGCATCCGGAGCCATGTCAGAACTTTGAGCGAGGCCTGGTGACAGGGACCGGCTGTCACCCACCAGTCTTCCCAGCTCGGCTTCAAGATGCTGAGCCTGAAGCTCCCCAGGCTGTTCAGCATAGAACAGGTGCCCCAGGTACGTGCTGTTGTTCCGGTGATTGAGTTCCAGGCTGGGACTAGGGCTTGGCCTCTGCAACATGGCGACTGCTACGTCCTCAACCAGTCTGCTCTGTGTACACCCACTGTCTTCAAGGAGCCCCTCCCAGACTCCCTTTGGGGAATTCGAGCCTCCTGTTTCCCTCACCTACACCAAACCTGGAAACGGAAGTGATCCTAAAACCGTTTAAGTTGTAGCCCTTCCCTGTGACATCTGTATTTTTTCCCGAAGCAGAGTCATTATTGAGACTACTGATTCAAGCTACAGAGGTGAAGCTAGCAGCCCTTGTCTGAGTGACATTTTAAGGACGCTCCTGTGGGTGCTTGAAAGCAGGCCAGGGGCAGAGTCACCTCAGAGTGTGGCTTTGTGGTTCTCATCCTTTGCAGGAGGCCCAGGCCAGGTGTGTGTTGAGGCGATGAAGAGAGTTATTGATCCGCCTGTGCCTGGGTGCCCAAGGGCAGCTACCCCAAAACACCGGGGATGCATTGATAATCTGCGTTTTTAATAAGCCTTAGGCGAGGTCATGCTGCTTGTGAGCTGTGCCAGTGGTGCACCTCCTCCTTCCCTTGCAAAGTAAACGTCATCTCATTACACCCTTGTTTCTGTGTTATGTTTCCTTCCTCTTTGAACAAGAATAACTGTTGTTTCATGGATGTTTCATCTGGAGGATGTCAGGGAGGGAGGGGAGATCTCCTTTCCACCCAGCCGACCGCCAGGCCCTTACGACTTTCCCCAGAAAAATAAATCCCAAATGATCTCAGCATCATGAATGGAAGGTTAAGAGGAGACAAACCACAAAACCCTCTTCCTGAAAGCCTGCGCGGCTAGGTGATGCCAGCAAGATGGCATCGGGGGAGAATCAGAAGGATGCGGAGCTGTTGAAGGGCAGAGATGAGGATGCGGCAGGTAACAGACACACTGGAAATGAGACCAGGCTCCCACAATGCTGTTGGGCAGGTGGCCCACCTCTGTTCTCACAAGGCTGTAGACATCTCTTCCTGGTGCACTGCCCCGGTTGGTCCTACTCACAGAGAACTAGTGGCTGTGATTAGCGGGGACACGGTGATCTTTTGATTCATTCACTCATGACATTTTTATTGACTGCCTACTATGTGCAAGGTGTGACTCTGTGTGGGGCCCAGAGAAGAATCACATACAAATCCTGCCCTTAAGGGGCTCTGTGTTGGTTGGGAAGATTTAAAATTGTTCAGGAGCACTTCCGTTGCAAAGTGGATTAGGGTGTGTGCTCAGAGAGGGACAGATGGGTTCAGAAGAGGGATTGGTCACTTCCATCATGGGGGAGGAGGCAATCAGGGATGTCTCCACAAAGGGGGCGATCTGTAAGATTGGGTTTGAGGATGGGTAGAATTTGGGGGGCGGGGAGAGCACTCCAAGTGAAGAAATGGCATGAGTAAAGGCCTGGAGCTGGGAAATCAGGGGGCAGGTGTGGGAACTCTTGGGGCGGGGATTATGGGTATCTCCTCGGATATCTCCCTGGGAGTTTTGGTCAAGGTTGGGTTCAGAGACTGTGCCCAGGAAAGAAGTGAAGGAGAGAGAATGGTCTCACTGGGGACCTTGGGTAAACTGCTAGGATTCTGAATGTATGGGGGTTCTGAGGGTGAGGACCGGACCGCCCCTGAGGGCTGAAGATTGATGTGTCTTCTCTGTCCGGTTTTTCATAAATGATGGAGATGACAATTTTCTTTTTAGTAAAATGGCACCAGTCAGAGGCAGAGAACCAACATCACACCTCACATCCGTTTACTTCAGAACCTTCCTTGGGCTCCTGGGTTTCCCAGCATCATGCCCAAGTTTCATGCGGCCACAGAGGAAACACAGTGGCTCTGCCTGCCTGGAGGGTAGTTTTATTTGAGGATTTAGTGCGGGAGGGGGAAAGGCATTTTTAAAATATTCAAACAGATGCAGACATACTAAGGAGTAAATGCATAATTTTCATGAGTATTTAAAATAGGAGACTTCATAGAAATATTAAGTTTACTTTTGGTGGGCTCTGTGGGTTCCAGTACTTGGTCTGCAGAATGACCTTGGGCAGAGTGCCCTTAGTCTCCCTACCTCAGTTTCTGCATCTGTAAAATGGGATGGTGCTAGAATCTCTTCCTCAGGTAATGGTAAAGATTAAATGAGGTAACCTATGGGAAGTGCCTGGCATATGGTGAAGTCAGTAATGTTGGCCGTTATTATTATTATCAGCTCTCCTGTGCACTGCGCACTTGGAGGGGTGGAGTGTGTTGGGAGGAGACGTTAAGCAGCCCCTCCCACAGACTCCCACCCCAGCTCCCTGCCTGATATTCACAGGCCCAACCCCTACCCACCTCCCCCACTGTTTTTCATCTGTAAACCCTCTTCTCCAGCCACACTGGTGCTCTCTCTAGACTTCCCACCAGATTGGACATTCACTTCTCTTGATCTCTGTTTGAAGAAGGCTTACCTCCCTTGCCCCTCCATCCGCCTTTCTGGCCTCCTTCTCCGTGGAGCTGCAGGTGCCCTCTCCCTTCCCCGAGCCCCTTCAGCTGTTGGTTGGCACCTCTGCAGGCTGCCCTATATGGCCACCTTTCCCTTCATATATCAACCAGCTGTGTGGCCTGGGCCACTTCCCTACCCTCTCTGAGCCTCACGCATCAGATGAGAGTGGGGCACGGCCTCTTGGCATCTTCAGGGTTCTAATTCTGGTGCATTCCTCCTAATGGACTACTCACAGGAAAGGACAGTTCTCCCTTCCCGTAGAAGGTAGGACTTGGGTACATGCCTCACAATTTCAAGTCTCCCTGTGTCTAATAACAGACCTGGGTACATTAGGGAGTTGTGAAAGATGTGAACAAACAGCTCAAGGAATGGAATAAATATCTAGGTGTTGATTCCTACACAGACCCAACCTAGAGACAAACAGGGAAGTCTAGACAGCAAGTTAATATGGAACATGGCCTGACACTTGGCCAGGAAACAAGAGTATTTTGTGTCAAATTGAGAATCTTTTGTTAACGGTAGCCTTGGCCCCCAGGCTACAGGTAAACTCACCGTATTGTCCTGGAAGCCTTAATTTAGGGGCACAGGCAGGAAGATTCCAGAGGTGCTACAAAGCATTTCCCAGCCTGGCACTGGAGCTCTGCCGCTTACTGTGGGAATTTGGACAAGACGTGTAACCTCTCCAAGCCTCAGTTTCCTTATCTGTGAAATGGAGATAATATCTGTCTCACAGAGCTATTGTGAAGATCCAAGAAAAATGAAATAGAGTAGTGGGATAATTATGAAGGAACAGAAGCAGAGCCAGATCAGTGGCTGGGAGTGGTGTTGGGTAGGTGGGCTTGGGCACCTGAAACAGGAAGCCATCTCAATAGGCAACTGGTTTCTCCAGCCGAGAATTTCTCAAAGTGGGCGCTTGGATCACCACCATGAGAATACCTGGGAGCTTACGAAAGGGAGTCATGATTGCAGGCTTTTTGTATTGTTCTTGATTTTAATCCAAATGAATGCTTTCAGCATTTCATCATTTAATATAATGTTAGCTCTTTCTGTGTGTATGGGTGTGTGTGTGTGTTTGTGTGTGTGTGTGTGTATGTGTATAAATAACCTTTATCAGGTTAAGAATATTCCTTTCTATCCCTAGTTTCCTAGGATTTTTTTTTCCCCCTCTAATCAGTAATAAATTCTTTTTTCTATCAGTGTATCTTTTGAGATGGCCATATATGATTCATTTAAGTTATTAACGTGGTGAATTACATTGATTGATTTACTAATGTTAAACCAACCTTGCATTTATTTATTTACTTTATTTATTCTTTATTTATTTATTTTGGCCGCACCGCGCAGCGTGCGGGATCTTAATTCCCTGACCAGGGATGGAACCTGTGCCCCCTGCCGTGGAAGTGTGGAGTCTTAACCACTGGACCGCCAGGGAAGTCCCCAGCCTTGCATTTAAATATTACTTGGTCACGATGGAGTATCTTTTTATCTATCGCTGAAATCAGTTGATAGTTTGTCTAGGATCCTTAAATCTATTTATTGAATCGGCCTGAAATTTTTCCTTCTTATACTGCCCTCCCCTGGATTGGGGATTAAGATGGTGCCAACCACAAATGAGTTGGAGAGTGTTACCTATTTATTCTATGGAAAATATATGTAATATTTGTATGATATTAGAATTATACATTCCTGACAGCTTGGTAGAATTTACCTGGAAAATTGTCTGAGCAGGGCCACCATGTTGCCCACCCGAGGGAGCATCGTTTATCTCTTAGTCTACGTGAGTGGCAGACTATGGAATTGTGCGAGGAGCAACTCGATGCTACAGCTGCATTTTCTCTGTAGAAAGTTCTTTTTATAACAGTTTTGTTGAAATATAATTCACATACCATAAAATTCTCCCTTTAAGAGTATATAGCTCAGTGGGTTTTAGTATGTTGACACACACAAAGTATGTTGTACAAAACCATCGCCAAATTGAATTTTAGAACATTGTTAACACCGCAGAAAGAAACTCTGTACCAATTAGCAGACATTTCCCACTGCCCCCACTCGCAGGCCTATGGCAACCACTAATTTACTTTGTCTCTACGGATTTGCCTCTTCTGAATATTTCATATAAATGGGGTCATGCAGTAGGTGGCCTTTTGTGAATGCCTTCTTTCACTTCGCATAGTGTTCTCAAGGTTCATCTGTGCTGTAGCATGGATTAGTACTTCATTTGTTTTTATGGTTGAATAATATTCCATTTATGGATATACCAGTTTGTTTATTCATTCTTCAGTTGATGGACACTTAAGTTGTTTCCAATTTTTGGTTATTATGAGTAATGCTATGAACATTTGTGTACAAGTTTTTGTTTTTTTTTTTTTTTTTGCGGTACGCGGGCCTCTCACTGCTGCGGCCCTCTCCCGTTGCAGAGCACAGGCTCCGGACGTGCAGGCTCAGCGGCCATGGCTCATGGGCCCAGCCGCTCCGCGGCATGTGGGATCTTCCCAGACCGGGGCATGAACCCATGTCCCCTGCATCGGCAGGTGGACTCTCAACCACTGCTCCACCAGGGAAGCCCTGTGTACAATTCCCCTAGGTACACACCTAGGAGTGGAATTGCTGGGTCACATGGTAACTCTATGCTTAACTTTTATTTTTATTGTGGCAAAATATACTTAACATAAAATTTACCATCTTAACCATTTCAAAGTGCACAGTTCTGTGGTATTAATTACATTTACCTTGTTTGGCAACCATCACCACCATTCATCTCCATTCTTTTTATCTTGAAAAACTGAAACTCTGTACCCATTAAATAAGAACTCCCCATTTTCCCCTACCCCAGCCTCTGACAACCACCATTAATACTTTTTGCCTTTATGATTTGACTACTTTAAGTACTTCATATAAGTGGAATTATATAATATTTGTCTTTTTGTGACATTTATTTTACCTAGCATAATGTCTTCAAGGTTTATCCATATTATAGCATATACCAGAATTTCCTTCATTTAAAAAGGCTGAATAATATTCCATTGTAAGTACATACCACATTTTACTTATCCATTCATCCATCAATAAGTACTAGGTTGCTTGTATGTTTTAGCTATTGTGAATAATGCTGCTATGAACATAGGTGTAGAGATATCCCTTCAAGACCCTGCTTTCAATCCTTTTGGGTATGTACCCAGAAGTGGAATTGCTGGATCATTTGGCCATTAAAAAAAAATTGTTTTCTGAAGAACCACACTGTTGCTTTCCACAGTGGCTGTACCATTTTACATTCCCACCAACAGTGTACAAGTGTTCCAGTTTCTCCACATCTTCACCAACACTTGTTGTTTTCTGTTTGTTTTTTTTTTTTATAGTAGCCATCCTAATGGATATGAGGTGATATCTCATTGTAGTTTTGATTTGAATTTCCCTAAAGATTA